TGGTGTTCTTCCTTTCTGTCTTGAACAGATGGAGTTCTGCATCTGCCTGCTGCTCACCATCCTGGGCTACATCCCCGGCATCATCTACGCTGTCTACATGCTCGTCGCGCTCGGCTCGGAGGAGCGTGATAGGGACTACAACACACTTGCTTAATAATCCTGCAACAACTTGTGATTGTGTGATGCACCGCTTGCCCAGTTGTGAATTGACGTCCCTGTTTATGTTAGTCTGTAAATGCTTAAACCGTCCTCCGGTTTCTCCATCCTGTAATTCTGATACAACCGAATAAAATTTCAGCAGCTCCGAAGATTTATGGCGGTGTTTTTCTTCAGTTGGACTTGAATACTTAATTGCTGATAGGAACCATACCACCCCTATGTCAAATGTGTTGCTTTTTTCCTTTCTTTTGATTGATAGCGCAAATGTGTTGTTTTCAAAAAGCTACTCCCTCGGTTCTATAATGTAGGATCAAGCTGTAGAACCATCACTGTCGTTTTTATGTTTGAGAGATAGGCTGAGTTTTCTGAAAAGGACCATTTCCAAACTAACTAAAGTGGGCAACTGAAACTGCATCAGCAGGATTAGGTGAGTCTGTGTGGTGTTCTTGTGCGTGGGCACCAAACGCGGCAGCAGATGCTGGCAGTCAGCTCTCTCATCTCATGTCGAAAACAGCTCAGGCGTGCTTTTGTTTCGGGATGCTGACAGCCTGAAACATCGCCACGCCGGACGCAGAGACCAAACTAGAGCAGGAGCAGCAGGTCAGCCGGCGCCGGGGATGGGGCCGTGGGAGATTGCGGCGGGCCTTGTTATAGTTGTATGTGGAATCTGATGGTCAGAATCAGCAACCAAGAAACAAACTTTTTTTTAGAAGAAAAGGGCATCTGCCTCGGTTACATTTCCATCTGAAACGAAGCCACCGAGTACATCATTAGTACATCTGCAATATTCAATAGCAAGATTAGATGTCGCTAGATGCTCATCCTTCCAGGATCACCATGCTGTCTACTCCCATCCATCCTCCCACCTTCTTGAGGGAATATTGCAGCCAGAGCTCTCTCTTCCTCAGCCTGGCTCTGGCCAGAGCAGCAGAGGTGGTCTTCTGGCAGCATCCCATATAGCTGCTACGATCTTCTCCACGCGCTCTCTTGAGCCTTCCTTGCACAGGATCTTCCAGAGATTGCAGAAACCTGCTATCCTGTTAGAGTATGTAATGGGCCTAATGGCCTGGGCTGGTGGTATAGCCCGTTAGTCTTAGGGTTAATTAGAGATAAATGTTGTTTTTTTAGGGGTCAAGTAAGCCTTGCTTGGGAGTCAAGTAAACCTCTCTACATAAAGAGAGGAGATGTATCAATCTAATCAAGCAAGAATTAAGAAGGAAATCCCTTCCATCTTGCCCGGCCGTGGGCAAAAGGCCCCCGGCCGGCCCTCTCGCGCCCTCCTTCTAGCAGCGCCATAACATATCCTCTTCAGAATCACCTGCACTCCCATCCAGGTTGTATTATTAAAACACATATCATTTCTGCACCTTCAGATAACCCAAAGAGTGGCTGGGGTAACCAAATTCTCAGCTTGCAATGATTTGTGTTTCCCCCACATACATGCCACATTACCAAAAGTGGGTAGGAGAATACACCCAGAGGTGGAGTGAATAATTCTCCATATCTCAGCAGCAACATCACACTCAAAGAACAAATGGCTAGTTGTTTCATATTCATAACAAAATAAGCAAGTAAGATCATTTAAATGTTGTCTTTTAATCAAATTCCCCCTAACCAACAATTTATTGTGAGCCAGCAGCCACAAGAAAAAATGAATGTTGGGGGGAACATGAACTTGCCAGATATCAGGGATATGCACAGGGCTAATGCCCCTAAAATTAATCACATCATACATTGATCTAACATAATACTTACCATTAGACTCTAATTTCCTAATTAAAGCATCTTCCTCATCATTTAAAGTGATTGATTGCGCAATACTAAGTAAATCAAACCAGAGATGTAGCAGCCTACTGTCCACACATCTCCTAAAGGTGATCTTAAGATCAACCCCATCCCACAGATCAACAATAGACAAATTATGTTCATTAGCAATGCTATATAGCTACCAAAATTGAATTGCTAAGCTGCAAGACCCAAACCAATGGTCTTCCCAAAATTTTACTCTCTTCCCATTTCCCACTTTCCATTGGAAGCCCATCTTGGCTGCTTTAGCAGCCCAGAGAACCCCTTCCTAGAAAGGACATGGGTTATTATTAGGGCAAGAGAAGATGTTGGGATTATTGGTTCTGTATTTGGAATCAACAATCTGCTTCCACATCTTTTGATCTCCCATATAGTATTTATATACCCAAGAAGCTAGCAGGCTTAGATTCATTTCAGCAATGTTAGGTATCCCCAGATCACCATATTGCTTTTTTCTGGGTCAGTAGCCCCCAACTAGCTAGATGGTACTTGTGGTGTCCCTCGTAGTTGTCCAAGAAACAGTGTGCCATCTGTGAGTTTATCAGATTAATAGCCCACTTGGGGAATTTGATCATACTCATCAAATAAGTGGGAATACTAGCTAAACAAGATTGGACCAACACTAGTTTCTTCTCATAACCTAATAGCCTTCCTCTCCATCCAGCAACTTTTGAACTTTATCAACCACAGGTTGCAAGTCTTCTCTTCTGAGCTTGGAGTGATGGAGAGGAAAACTAAGATATTTCAAGGGGAAAGTTCCCAGGGCACAAGATAGGGCTTGAGCCACATTCTGGGCTTCTTCCTCCTGGACATTGATAGGAACCAGATCACACTTATGAAAATTGATTCTCAAGCCAGACATTTGTTCAAAACAAGAGAGCAACCATTTTAAGTTCTTAGTAGATTCCAAGTTATTTTCCAAAAATAACAAAGTATCATTTGCATATTCCAGGCTGGTTACTCCTTGAGGAAAAATATTAGGCATCAACCCAATCAACATTTTGTTTTTAGCATCTTTATTTAGCATTCTGCTAGAAACATCAGCTACCAGGTTGAAAAGCAAAGGGGAGGCAGGATCACCTTGTCTTACCCCTTTATAAATCTCAAAAAAATCACTATTACAATCATTAATTCTAACACCTACATACCGTTTATAAAGAATGGATTTAATTTTTTTCATCCATTTAGGGCTAAATTTCCTCTGGTACATGACTTTCATCAAGAATTCTTTACTAATTCTATCATAGGTTTTCTCATAATCCAACTTAAAGTCAAAACCCTCCTTTTTATTAATCACAACATCATGAATAATTTCATGAGCTGTTACCACACTCTCCACTATAAACCTGCCTTTAATGAAGGCAGTTTGGTTTTGGGAGATGATCTCTTCCCCAGGTTAAAGACCCTCCTTTTTATTGCCCATGGCGAGCACTATGAGCGCATCATTCACACACGCCTAACTGTCTGCTCACAAGGAATGGACGCAGGCCAAGACTTGGCCAAGAGCACAGTTCAGTGGCGACCAATGGATGCGATCTTGGAGTAGTGGGGGAGGG